CCCTCCCTTAATCTTGATGGGAATTGCTGTCATCTGAAATTCCTCTTCTCTCCACACTTCCCCCTGCAGACATGGATTCCCCCCATCCCCCCACCCCCATTCCCCCCAACATCTTGTGTTTCTATTTATTAATTATTATTTCCACAGATTGACCTCCTTTGGGGTTGTTGCAAGATCAAGGTATGAAGGTTTGTCCGGGTAAAGTTTGCGCAACGGATGGGGGTCGACGGCCTGGACCAAGAGGAACGTGGCGGCGCCGCCTGCTGAGGTGAGTCTGTCCGCCGCCCTTGTGGCAGCCTTTGTTTGGCCACCAGCTCTCCTCCCGCTGATAGGCCCCCTGCCAGAAAAACCACGGGTCCAAATGTCCATCCTAGCAGACCCTTCATTCGGAACGCCATCACTCAAGTTACTCACGGAAGCTCCTGCTCATATTTTGACCAAAAGGCGTAGGTTAAAAAACCCCCACAAATATAGTAGGCAAACACTTTTTACCTTCATACAATTTTCAGATTGTGTTATTAAGACAGCAATCATTGATGCTCATTCATTCGAATAATTAACCTCAACTTCATGCCTGCCATGTTGTTATTACAGAGATTCTTCTTACGCAAATCGTGTTTCATGCGAAAATCAAGCACAAATTTAGAAAATTAGGCAACGTTATCAGTAATCGCAGCGAAAACCGCCAACGTCAAAGCACCAACACCGCTTTTATTTTGGTCACGATCAAAGTACATTTGGTAAACTGTCAAAGGACATGAGTTATCCAACAATGAATTGTCAAAAACATCATGATATCTGCAAAACTAGAGCCAATTCTAAGAAACATGATCATTTTCCCACTCAGCAGACCCAAGTTATCCATAAACCACCAAAATATCTTTGGCACTGGAAATACCGGTAATTGTTTTGGTTTGGTTTGCCAGCAGACATTTTTTTTTCCTGTCAATCCAGCTCTAAAATTGCAGTATTTGACTTCAGGTTTCGTACTCTGCTTCAGTCAAAATTCATGACGTGACAGAGGATCATTTCTTGGAACGGTGTCCTGGAACATCGTGGCATGACCTCATCAAGCCCGTGCGTGAATTGTTTCCGGCGACGAAAAAGCACGGGACGGGGCGTGCTGCGTCTTGGCGGCGAACCCTCGCGAAAACATGTTTCAGAATATGACGGCGGTCCCAGCGCATGTCGGGAGGCCCCTGTGGCGCTTTGTTGACAGTGACGCAACCACGGCCACCGAGGTTATCAGTGAGCGAGACAGACCGGCGCGTGGTCGCCACCGTCGCTAATTGAGTCACCTCGGGCAATTTGGGAGCCCTTTAAAGGCGGAATGAGAATTTAGACGCCGTCGATTGTATCTGCGCTTTATCTTTATTTATTCCCCCACCGCCTGCCAACCAACGCCAACCGCCATTTTTGTCATTTCACTTCCACCTTTATTGATTCTGGCGTTTATTCCGCTGCGAGGTTAATTAACCATCGGTTGTTTATTGCTCTCCTGTCGATAAGAGGAAATAAAATAATCCTTTTTGATTTGTTTGCGCCCCCGCCTTATTATGCTTATCTCCTATCATGGTATCCAGGCTATTTTTCATCAAGCTTCGAACGATGAATCGCGTGCCATTAAATAATAACCACAAAAACAACACGTGCACAACAGAAACGTTTTTTGTCTGAGTTATAAACGCAGCCATACATTAGCAACGGTAACCCTTTTAAAATGTCCATATTTGAGTGTGAAATGCTTTTTAAAAATGCACAGAATTCACAACGATGTCCTTGCGATTGTGAATACAATAGTGAATGATCGCTACACATAAAATGAATACAAAAGAAGGAATTCATCAAACTGACTCCTAATGAAGTTTTCAAAAATCTTTGTGTCCACTTTTGACTGGCAAAGTATTTCTTTTAATCACAAGTCATGGATAAAAGCTTGAATCCATAGGAAAGCACCACTTTCTGTTAGCATTTATGAGTTATTCAATGAAACAGCAGGGAGGCACCCCCCCCCACCCCCCCTTAGATGAGATGACTTCAACTGCCGTCTAATGGATCAACAACAACATTGAGCGTGTTAGCATCCCGCTGGGATGTAATGCCGCTTCAACTGCAGGTTTCATAAGAATTACACAAGGGTGGGTATGTGTGTGGGGGTGCTCAGGAACAGAGAAGAGTGAATGATTTCACTTGAGAGCTTATAATTTCATCATTTTGAGAAAGCAGTGGCGATTCTGTTGAGTTGAGCGGATGCGCCAAGTGACTCCAGAATGCCATGCCATTTGTTGGCAGGCTGCGCCACAAATATAATGCTGAGGTTGGGTAGCAAAAAGTCACAAGCATACCGTAAGATTTAATAATTTTTTTTTCTTTTTTGTGGGGCACTGATCCTCTTCCTGTGTGGAGTTTGCATATTCTCGCCGGGCCTGCGTGGGTTTTCTCCGGGTGCTCCGGTTTCCTCCCACATTCCAAAAACATGCATGGCAGGTTGATTGAACACTCCAAATTGTTCCGCGGTGTGAGTGTGAGCGCGGATGGTTAGTTGTCTGCGTGTGCCCTGCGATTGGCTGGCAACCGGTTCAGGGTATCCCCCGCCTACTGCCCGAAGACAGCTGGGGTAGGCTCCAGCAACCCCCGCGACCCTAGTGAGGATAAAGTAGATCGGAAAATGGAATGGATGGACTTTCCAATGGTGACTAAACTAATCGCCTTTTCTGCTGAATACCCACAAAAAAAAACAAACAAACAAAAAAATACCACACCACTTTATTTCTTCATTTCATTCAAAGTTGCATTCTGAATGAAGTACAACATTTTTATATTTGGTGTAGATTCTTTTTTTTGTTTATTCATTTTGTTTTTTTAAAAAAATATTTCAAAACATTTTGGATATTTTTATTCATTTATTCTGTAATTACAGTGTATCTTTTAATCGAATTCTATCAATTGTGTTTTGGGGAAGTCATTTCTGTTTTTTTTTTTAACTAAAGGAGATTCTTCCCAAAATAGAACATCTTATGATGAACGTTTAATAAATCAATGCGCAGGAATGTCATTCAACTTTTTTTTAATTCTTTTCATCCCCGATCACCTTTATTTTCGATTATTTGACGAAATCCAATTCTAATCATGTATTTTAAAATTCTATTTGGATACATTCGAGCTTTTAATATTTAGTTTTTGAGGACCGCCTTGATTTGCTACCTCAATACCTGAACTATGCAACTATTGGGGGGGGGCACGCTTATGTTAGCTGTGTAGTTCAGTTTTAGGAAAACTCATGCAAGATTCAAACCAGAACAATCCACCAATCCTTATCGTTGCCTACCGGTAGTTATACATTTTTTGGGGTGGAGGTTTATTACAGTTATTTTTTTTTTTAAATAAGGTCAGGGGTCACCTGGAGCCAGTTGATTTCAGGGCACAGTAGACAAAACAACCATTCACTTGCCATTCATACCGAAATTGGAACCCTAACCCTCGGAATCGCGAGACAAACATGCTAACCACTTGTGCCCCCACCCGCCGCCTGACTGCTTTCACCTTTTACAGCACAAGCAAAGAGGTCAGAACTTCCCCTTGTGGAGGTTAGATAACTCTTGCCGGGAAAGAGGCCAGCCGGGCCTCCCGGGGGGCGGTGAGGCAACCCCCCCCACCCCCACCACCACGACTAGGCATATGTATAAATACCAGCCACCGTGCACTCACAGCGACACACTGGAAACGAGGTAGCAAGCAAAGTCATCGTCACCGGACAGTTGCCGTCGACACCCCATGAGAGAGACGACCGCTCGGCTCTTGAGGATTTTCTGCGTCGTTTAAAACAAGAACCACCCGCCGACTAGTCCAAAATGAAGGCATTCAGCATTGCAGTTGCAGTGACACTCGTGCTCGCCTTTATTTGCATCCTGGAGAGCTCGGCGCTCCCCCTCGACGAGGTAAGCAAATCAACTTTTTTTTCTCCGTTCTTGCCAGCATTTTCCAGCACAGTGAACCGCGACCCACCGCCATGGGTGCAAAGCGGCCGTTTGGGAAGAATTAACTCAACGCCTCCCAGTCACATTAAAACACACTGCGAGCAATGTGGAACATGCATAAGCTGTGCCTGTAAGAGGCGGGGCCTTGTCAGTTCCTGTTTTACAACTGCATCATGAGCGCGGCTCTCCTTTCCCAGATGCGAAAACTCAGGACAACTAAGCATAATATCAGTCACAAAATCCAAATGCATCAAGCAAAGAGTTGCCTTTGTAAAGGCGAAGAAAACACCTTGTTTGGCTCGCCAATGGAGCTAAGATTCAAGAATTCTTTTCTTCTTTCCACAGCCTTGGTTTGGGTTTTCAAAAAACTGCAAAGTGGTTTTGATTTAAAAGATGCGAGTGCACCGGCTCGAAGCGCGCCTCAGATCCATGTCCAATCTAGTTGATATTTGCTATCCTGAAGCGCGTCTTGACAAAGTCACTTTGTTGCCGCCGCCCCTCAGCCCACTTCACGTCCGATGCGGCAACGCCTTGGAGGACTTCTCTCCGTCATTTAAAAAACGGTTTAACGGTCAATTGAACGGCAAATGTTCTTTGCGGACGCAGGTGCGGCCGCAAACGGAGGAGGCGAGAGGCGGTGACGCTCCAGTTGCTGGCCTACTGGACGCGGCCGCCGATGGGGAGCCTTGGACGCCGTATCACGCGCGACACAAGCGGCAAAGCAACCTGTCGATGTGCTACTGGTGCTGCAAATGCTGCCGCTCCTACAAGGGCTGCGGCCTCTGCTGCAAGTTCTGAAAGAGAGAGAGAGAACAACAACAACAAACGGAAGTTAAAGAAGGAAGGCCCTCGCATCACGACAACAAACAGGAGCACCCTAATTTATCACTGAGCTGGTTCCCAATTTTTATTTTGGTCGCACATGATCTAGAAACTGTCGTCCAAAGTGGCACAGTGGTATTTATTTTCATGTTTGAAATAGTCTCAACCTTTTGTAAACTTTTTTTTTTTTTAAATTCCAACTTGTATTCTGAATTGTTGAATAAATGAATCTTGAAATGTATTTGCTTGTGTTTATTTTCTCATCGTCTGTGCTTTTTATATTTCTTTTTAATTTGCATGAATTTTCATTATTGATCTTTGTTGCTATCTCATGTTTGAACTTTTTCACATTTAAAAATAATTCCAATTGAAAAAAAAAATCTAATTTCTCCAATTCTCTCTTTGCGAGATGTTATTCAGTTTGATATATTTTCCATACTTTTCATATAAAGACAAACATCTTTGCAAAAGATTCGGTTTCATTCTTATTTTGATTGTTATTTAAATTGGCTTCTGAAAACACAAGGTAGATTGAGTTGATTCCACCCATCTTTCCATTTTCGACCGCTTATCCGAGGTCGGGTCGCGGGGGGGCAGCAGCTTTAGCAGGGAAGCCCAGACTTGCCTCTCCCCAGCCACTTGTTCCAGCTCTTCCCGGGGCTCCCGAGGCGTTCCCATGGTCTCTCCAGCGTGTCCTGGCTTGTCCCCGTGGGGCCTCCTGCCGGCGGGACATGCCCGGAACATTTTTTTAAAAATTTTTATTTCGATTCGATTGGGGACCTTAAGGTCAATTCTAATCTCTCCAATTTGATCTTAAATAGAAACACCACACCCCGAACTGGTTGCCTGCCAGTCGTGGGCCACACACAGACGAACAATCATTCGCGCTCACGTTCGCACCGAGCGACAATTTAGAGTGTTCCATTAACCTGCCATGCATGTTGTTTAAGGGGTAAGAGGAGGTTTGTTCTTTTTTTGGGCGAGGGGGTATGTGGGAGAAAAGCAGAGTACCCGGAGAAAAGCCGCACAGACACGGGGAGAACATGCAAACTCCACACGAGAAGGCCGGAGCCGGAATCGAACCCTGCGCCCCCGCACTGTGAGGCGGACTGTGCTCACCAGTCGCTCTCCGTGCTGGCCGAAGAGATATTCGCACATTTCAATGTTTATTTATTTGAAAAACATTTTGTATTTATTTCTCTGCCTATCCATCCAACGAGATCGATAGATGTGTGTATGTGTTTACAATCTCTTCACATTTTTGTGCCTTTGTCAAACAAAACAACAACGAAAACAATTTGCTCTCAACCTTTTGTTCATTGGCCAAAATCCTTGAAAAACGCCACGGTCACAGCGAAACGGCCGACTTGCTGTTGTGCCTTTCGCAGCCAGCGTCGGTTCGGTGTTGATTTTTGTGCGTCCCGTCGTCATGAATGTCCGTGCCGCATTTCAGTCAGACACTCTGGTGCCAGATGCGTCCAGTTTTCTTCCCCTCCGGGTGGGGAGGATACGAGTGAGTTATTGAAGCGCTGTCACAACAGCCAGTCACACGTGTGGCCAGAATGCACCCACCGCATTAGCGGGATGCGGTCGCTCAACCGTTGTGTCACTGAACTTTGAACAATGAAATGTCATGGCAATCAATAAGTCTGCTTTGCATTTATACAAGATTTTTTTGCGCATCTGTTTTGGATTCAATTTTGTTGTTTTCCATTTTAGTAGTTGTAATCTTTTTATTTCTTCATTCATTTGATTTATTCACGTGTTTTCAAATATGTCTTCATGTCGATTTTATCAAACAATATAATGTCCGTATTTATTTATTTTTTTAGACATTAACACGCAGACCTGAAACGCCCAGTCGCCGTCTTCACAGACAACATTTGTGCATGGGAACTCTGTCACGTGAGGAGTCGGAAGCAGACGTGACACGGAAGTTGAAAAGTAAACGTCTTTATCGCCAAAAATACAAAGTGACTACAGAGAGCAGGGCTGGATGAAGAAGACGCGGAAGAGAGCTGACACTTTGGTAAGCTCGACGTACCGACAACGTGTCATCGAGTCGTCCGAGTTATTCGACTGTGAGACGTCGAGCCCATACGACAGAATAAAGATTTAATAGCACAAAAGAGCAACAGCAACCGCATGGCAACTGACACGTGAAGGAGGAACAACCAGTCACAACGCTCTATTATATAGATAGATATATACTTTTTTTTGGGGGGGTGTGGGGGGAGCCTTTCACTATACATGACATCATATGTTATCCAGTGCCGGCATCCATTTTAAAGCCCATCATGGAGATGATTAATATTCAGCCTCCAGCTGTACTTGTTTTTTTTTTTTTTTTAAATTCCAATCCATTTTTACTAACCATATTTTACATAGCTTTGGAATGTCCAAACTAGCAATTTGTCATAATTATGAATGCGTGTGTGTGAAGGGATGTGTGGAAGGCGAAGGAGGGAAGGAATATCAGGAGGTGTTCCCCATTGATTGGACGAAAAGGAACATTTGCATTTAGATGGTCCCTCTGCTTCCTTGTGTGTGTGCGTGTGTTTGTGTGTGTTTGTGTGTATGTGTGAATACTCTGGGGGTCTTCCTTAAATATAATGGATCTGTGTGTGTGTGTGTGTGTGTGTGTGTGTGTGTGTGTGTGTGTGTGTGTGTGTGTGTGTGTGTGTGTTTCGGGAAAGGTGGTCATGAAGCCAAATAAAGCATCACCAAAACACCACTGTTTTTCTACCCCATGACAAACGACACCACCCGTCGTTGGTTTTAATTTAACGCAGGCCGGTGTAACTTGTAGCGCATCCAAGCCAAACCGCTGCGCTTTTGGACGCACTTTGTGGCCATTGGTCTTTGTCGGAGGAAGAATCCTTTTCATTTCCAACGATGCCGGACACGTGTTGTCCATGAAAGTTGATGTCATCCGAGTGCTGAAATGGTTTGCGCAATCTCACAATCAATCTTTTCAGGGGCAGGACTTATGGTGGGTGAAGTGCAAAACACAAAAACAGCTCATCAAACACAACAGGAAGTGAAAAAAAACCCCACACAAAAAAAAAGACTGAAGAAAAGCAAATGGAAAAAAAACCCAAACAAATAACAGTCAATCAAAAAACACAAAAACAAAACATCGATTTGATATACCGTTATTTGTGCCACACGGAAGGTGTCCTTTGTGGATGGTCCACAAACACAGATGCGAAGAGAGATACAGCGTCTAGTGCTGTCATTGCATGTCTGTTTCAAGAGACAACCATTTGGAATCCCCTCCATGAGCCTGATCACCTGATCTGGTGGCGGAACGGGTTTGAGTGTCCCAATGATCCGAGGAGCCAAGTTGTCTGGGGGCTTTATGCCCCTGGCAAGGTCACCCGTGGCAAACAGGTCCCAGGGGAGGGACCAGACCGAGGACGGCTCGGAGACCACTCGTGATGACGAAAGGAAAGCGGATGCAGTTTTTTCCCTTGCCTCGACGCAGGTGACAAGGGCCTCCTGTGAACCCTGTGAAGCAGCCGATGGCCAATGACGGGGACTTTGGCGCTTCTTGGGATGTGGAATGTCATCTCTCTGGCAGGGAAGGGACTGCGAGCTGGTCTGCGACAAGTTGCAAGTCAATATAGTCGGACTCGTCTCTGTGCACGGCCTGAGCTCCGGTACCGGTCCTCTGGAGAGGGTTTGGACCCTCTTCCACCCTCGAGTTGCCCACGGTGAGAGACACGGGGGTGGGCATACTTATTGACCCTGGCTTGGCGCCCGTACTCTTGCATTTGCCTCGGTGGATGAGAGGGTAGCAACCCTCCGCTTTCGGGTGAGAAAACAGGTCCTGACTGCTGTTTGTGCTTCCGCACCCAACAACAGTTCAGAGGACTCAGCCTTTTTGGAGTCCTTCGAACAGGGGACTCCATCGTTCTGCTTGGTGACTTCGATGCTCACATGGGCCGCGACAGTAAGACCCGGAGGGGTGTGATTGGGAGGAACCGTGTTCCCCAGCCTCCATTGTTGAGGCGGCCGACCGGAGTTGTAGCCGTAAGGTGGAAGCCGCCGGTGGTTGTTAGTGTGCCGAACATTTCGACCGGAGCGCCCAGTCGATGGCGTATGCCGCTCGCGTCGCCTCATTGCGTATGTTTGACACGTTGCGGCGGCGCGGCGGATGAGCGCGCGAGGAACGGCGCGCACGGACGGGAGGAGAAACGCGGCCGCTGGGTTTCTTGCGAACACACTTTTGCTTCAGCTGCCAAATGAAAAGATAACACGTTTTCCAGGCAAGATTCTTCACTAATCTCGTTGGGATTTAGTCGGATTTTGCACAAAATGTCATGTTTGCTCACAAGCAAAAAAAAAAAACAAAAAATGCACTTGGGTTATTGAAGGACAATGACATCATTGAATTATTTGAGAACGTGACTAAAAATGTCAAAGAATGAATACATTTACAAACTAAATTGCAGTTTTCTTTGCTGTTTATATTACCATATTTTTTTTCATAAATTCAAATACTTTCATTGTTTTTATGATTTTTGGGGGGATGAAATACACATGGTGTGATCAATTTTCGAAAAAAAAAAATCTCCTCAAGCTTTTGAAATGTAACAACCGCATTAAAAGTGAAAACAAAATGAATGGACATGCAAATGGTCGTTGTTATGGAAATGCCCCAAAATTAATCGGATCCCTTTTTTAAATTCTCAATGGTTGAATGTTGATTTTTTTTTTTTTAATTGTCATTCTCATTACAAATGCAAAAGATGTGTTCTCTATATTTATAATAAGATCGGGAAAAAAATTCATTTTTTAAAAATGTACAAAAGTCACTTTTATTTCTAACTTGTTTTAGAAATTGAAAAATGTTAAAACATTTTTGACTTCATTCACCGAAGAAAATTCAGTCCAATTTAATATCCTTTTCTAAATGTAACATATTTAATACATTTCATATCGTGATTGTTTTTTTTTTTTCTGTCAAAAAGTGACACATTTTTCAATGAGGTCAACTGTACATTCTCATTGACATCCACACGAAAAGTGAACTGGCATGGTCTTTTCATTTATAAATGAAAAAGCAATAAATTAAAATTCAAACCAAAAAGTT